CTTTGTCTTATTGCTCTACTTGCCACGAGCATTCCATCTAGTCTGGCCCACCCGTGCGACAGCAAAAGCTGCCGTGTGGCTCTTCCACTGTTATGTTGTCTGCCTATATTATTAACTGTAATCTACTTCGACATTGTTTATGCGTTACACATAATAACTTAGTAAGTAAGTAGCCTTGCTTTATAATGCCCTACAGTGGGCGACAAGGGGCCGATGATGAAGTAGTTTTGCGCCTTTAAAGTATGTAGTTTAGTTTAAATAGGGCCCTAATTTCATTATTGCCCCGGGGCCCTTGGCTACATAGCTACGCCACTGGATCAACCACAGATTTTTTTTTAAAACAATCGAAAGAGAAACAGACAACCGACAGCGGTACCACATGAGTAAAGAAATCGTGCCGTACAGAGGCAAAGCTTCATACAACCGCGCTGTGATAGGTACACTACTACAAGCTTGAGGCGCATGTGTACGTGACCACTGGCATCTTGTCACGTACAGATAGAAACTGCTATAAACCGGCTCGGCCAGTGCTCAAACTCAGAGTTGTGTAAAAAATAGTATCAAATTTTTTTTTAAATATAAAAAGTGTAAATATGGTTTACGTAGATTTAAATCTTATCGAGGTTGCCACAGGAGATACTGCTGATTTTGTAAATAAAATTAATAATTTGTTTGATTTCTTAAACTCAAGTACACTCCGATCTCCTAATAAATATAAAAGACCTTATCGATGCGATAGTTATCAAATTGAGCTTTTAGAAGAAATGCTAACATTTTTCAGAGATAGGCAGAATGGCATTACAAATAGCATGAATTTCATTCATGGATTTCAAGTGTCTATAAAATCTTTAATAAAACTTCAAGAAAAATTAAAATCAAAAGAAATTTAATTCATTTATATTTACGGACGTCTCAATCAAGATTGTCTCTAAAATTTCCTTGGAAAAGTCAGAGAGGCGGGTGGTAACTGCCAAGAACCAATATGTCGTCTAGTTAGTATTACCTCACAAACTAGTAAGGAGTGCTAGCGCAGCCATAGACATAAGGCTAGGAATATTTGTATTGAGATTACCACCCGTGGTAAAAAGTAATTGTGTTGAGAGTTTTGACGAGAACTTGGTTTGCTGCTCCTGTATTATTGTTTAAATAATGGTTTGAAGTGGATTTTAATATGTAAAGTGGTGCGATTTTGTGTATTAAGTGTCTGCGTATGTTAACTATAAGTGAAAACGGTGAAACAAGTGCTCTGATAGTGATGTGATTCTCAAGATAAGGTGTCTGTCTGTCTACTGCCAACTGTCAGCTGCCTGTTAGCTTAAGTGGCCGTCAAAATCTCCCAAAGGCTGCACAATATGACGCATCAACATATTGTGAAGCAGTGTACTATGAAGAATAATTATACACTGGAGGTGGGCCTAGTGTATCATTTTTGTGATTGGAACATTTGCATCTTGATCACTGAAATGTTACGAAACACTGATGTGTTTCATTTGGCTCATTTGGATCATCGACTCAAAAGATATAAAAGAAAGAATGTTCCGAATAGGTACATTAAGTTGCGTCGCGGGCGTTTATTACTGACTGATCCGTGAAATGTTATGTGGCAACAATGCTGAATAATATAAGTGCTTAGATTATTTATTGTGTACCGTAATAAGATTGTATATAAAATCGATTCTCCTTCATACTTTAACAAAAATGTCACTATGTCAATTCATCATTTACAAAAATGTCCATTTACACAAAACAGCAATATCTATGTACACAGAATTTACTCGTAAAGTATCATAACTCTAAACTTTATGATGAAAAGGAAGAAAGTAAAGTCACAATAATCACTACGCAAAGAAATCCTAAACATAACTGAGTATGTTTTCGTAAACAGGCGCTAATGAATATACATAATTTGACAAGTGCCGCATCAACGTAAAATGACAACTTGTTAATGCAAACGCTACATACAAAAAACGACCGTATAGTATTTGACACATAAGCGCCTTAGTGGTAATTTTTACGTGCATGAATAACGTCAGCGAAAATCCGTACGAGTTGTGATACACTTCTTATTTGTTATCTCTATCTGACTTGTATGGATTATAATTATTTCGCCCGCTCACTCGCCACTCGTGAGTCAATAGTTAAGTTAATCATTGTCTCAGTCTCTCTCTCTCGCTCGTGGTTCAGTCGCCTCGCAAGCGACGCGTCGCGCGAAATGAGCAAAGAGCAAAGTAATGTTTCACTGTTCCAGATACAAATGATACATTTGAAACGTTGTTACTGAACCAATCTTTTGTGTCACTTCTGTGATTCGTATCAGTGAGTCGTTTCCGTAAAGAGATACACACGCCTATTATACATTGTACCTTCAGGATCATAAGAGCTAGAACCTAGAACCCAGAGCCGTAAAGCGAGTTATAAAAAAAATGTTCTATGGTTATTTATTATTATAGGGTTGTCCACTTTGAAAATACATCGATGTTTTTTTTCGATGTGATGCATCGAGACTGTGCATCGATATATTTCGATGCATCGGTTAGAAACATCGATGTTTTTGCAACATCGAGTACTTTTTATGACTTTACATTATAAATCTGTAGTCAACTTCCTGACATCCCCATTCAAACAATCGACAATTTTGAATGATCTACTCTTACATCGGCACTGTCTTCGTCCGCACGCGTTGTGAGTGTGTTTGTGTGTGAGTGTGTGTATTTGAGTGTTCAAGGATGTAAGACAGTTAGATAGATATTCTTTATTGCACGAAACACAAAGTATCTTAATCTTAAGAATATTATTATTAACAGACGAATATATTCATAGTTATTTATATTTATATATTTATTGTTTTTTTTTTACTTTTATGCACAAAAGAAAAATCGTATATATGGCGGACTCAATGCCTTAAGGCTTAAGGCATTCCCTCCCAGTCAATTATATATACTATTTATATTTGTATTTATTTATTTTATATATTAGTAAAATTTATATATATCTTATTTATTTTTTATTTATTTTTTATTTTGTTTTTATTCTATTCTGCTACACATTTTCAGTTCTCCCTTTGTATTATTTTATATTAAGGAATGCAATAAAGAATAAATAAATTATTATTAATGATCATTAGTCATTGTGCTTACTACTAAATAGACGGCAGCTCTAGAACAAAATTCACGAAAAATGTGTCCCGAGTCAACCTATAAAAACGTATTATTTATATATAATCTTACTTGCGACAATTTAGCAGCCTTTCAACTACAACCAGAAGCTGTTGTCATCTTATGCAGCTTCTAGCGAAAATTATCGGTTTGATTTTTTGTTTTTACAAATAATGAGAATTAAATTAAAATACTATGTATGTTGTATCTAAGCAAAATATTACTTTTAAATTATTAAAATAGGCCTTATCGAAAATATATATAAATATAAATAGTTTTGCTCGTTTTGTGATACAGTAATTTTGGAGTGTATTATCAATCGACAAAACGAAGACTGGCGCGCAATTGTAACTCTTTTTGCATTTTGGAACTCTTTTGACTCGGACACTTAGTGCAGATCCGAAGTCCATTTAGTAGTAGGTCAATGTTTACGATATTATTTTCAATGATTTTAATAGAAAAAGAGCATGCATCACAATAAAAATACTTACATATGGAATATAACTCCATCTTTTGTAAATTTTAAGTATTTTGACTGCTTTATGATCGCACCGATCGGTATTTTTTAAAGAGCACCTACTTCGGCGGAAACGATTCTTGTAATAATAAAATCGATTTCGTAAGCAGTTTTCATAAACGCACAAGCTTTTAAATCCAATACCTTGGCAGAGGGGAATAATTATGCGAGATGAGTCTGAGGTTAAATGGTCTTAAGGCGGGTATCACTTGCCTGCCGCAGGGGCAATCTAGGGTGTAGGAGTGGGTATGACCCTTAATTGCCTCCTTAATTGTGATGTGTGTATGCAAGCAGGGGCAATTTTCTAAGTCGGCCCTGCGGCAGAGCGACATGAGCGCAAGACCTTCCTTGCTCCCTAGATCATAGCTACCACGCCACATGTGTAACGCAAATGGGGCAATTTCAAACAGTTCGTAAGCGACTTTCGCATGCAGCACACGTCATAATGGATACCAATAAAACATATGAAATTTGGACACTGGTGATAGAAGTGTATAAAGAGGCGGCTTCTTCACCCAGTATCTCCTTTTTGTCATTTTTTTTGCGGTAGCACTGCAGAAAGAACGTTATCTGAACGTCGTAACGTTTTTAAACGTGGTAGAGTTATACTGCAGCTTTTAAAGACTGTGTTATGGGTGTAATTATTAATTAATTTAGTTGTTTTATCAATAAATATGGGTGTCTATGGGCCACAGTATCCACTTAACGTCAGGTGGGCTGTGCTCTTTTGTCACCCTTATTCTATATAAAAAGAGCCAAGGCTATATTTACCGATTCATTTATATTTTGATAAAACTAGCGTCATTCTCAACGCGTGTGTCCAGCGAGACGTACACGCTCACATAGAATGGCAGGCATGTGTGTAGAGACAGTTCTGATATTGCCCCGATCGCTGTTCATCCTAGATTTCCCTGCGGCACGAAAGTGAGAAGCCGCCTTAAGACCGAGACAGACCAGACGATTTTCTTTAGATTTTCTTTAATACACAACCAGCCAATCTCAATTTCTTGATTCCGCTAAGGAACTGACAGCCGCCAACTAGCGCCACCAACAGGTTTAGATATTATAACTTCTAAATCGGAGCATGTTTTAGTTTTTCCGATTTAAAAGTTATAATATTAATAGTGATAGATAAGTATACTTGTTTACAATTGACTGGTTATCATTGATTCGATGTTTTATGAAAATACATCGATACATCGAGTATATCAATAGCTTTCCAAAACATCGGATCGATTCGATGCATCGTATTGTAAACATCGAGTGAATTCGATGCATCGATGTATATCGAATATCCCTATATTATTATATACATGCAGTGATTACTGTACTGATTACAAACAAATACAAACAAATTACGTTTCCTTTGAAGCTGAATTCAAGTTTGATTCAAGTTGTTGAAAATAATGGAATCTAAAACCAATTTACAATATGAATACCACTTAAAAAGTAATGAACATAATGAAGCAAATATTGGTAAATTGTATAAGAATTTTAAACCCACAAAAACTTATGGTAAGTGTATAAAAGTAAGTTAGAAAGCTATACATACGATCTTCTCAATTCTTTTTAAATTGTTAGATTCTTTAGGAGCATTACATTGCTAGATTCTTAAATAACTAGTTCTAAGATAAATATGACAAGCACTTACTGGCAAACATAACTTGTTTATACCGTACATACACAAACTAATAATTTTTATAATGAACTAAACACTATACTATATAATTTATAGTTAGTTAAAAGTAATACATAATATATTATCGTCATGTCAGACTCAGATTTTGTTCAAAACATGCAATGTTTCCATAATGAATGAGAAATTTCATGAGGTAGGGTAATGTTTCCAAATATTATCATTGATTGAGATGGTAGAATATCCAATACTCATTTTATGCTAAACATAAGCTGACCACTAGAAAAGCAAGTACAGTATTTTGAAATCTACCTGCAAAGTGTGGTGATTACACAAATTCTACCATCTGTGAGAGAGGCAAATATCTAGCAGTGGATTACTTATATTTTTATAAACATCATTTTGATGTTTGTCATGTGGAACCATTCTATATAAAAGTGGTAATAATTACAAAATTAAACAATTTTTACTATATTACATACTATAAACTACGGATTCCCAGAGTGGTCCCTGGTATCAACCCCTTGGGGTCAACCTAAATGAAAACTGATTTCGGGGTCAACGAGGTCTAAAAATTGACCTCTATTAATTAACTCAAGTTCTTATTTGAAACTTTCAAGATACTGTATAAGTTGTGAATACTTTTTGTATCAATAGGAAAAAACTATAGATAGGATTTTTAAATCCTATCTCTAGTTTTTTCTGCAGAGCTATAGCGATGGGTGTTGAATCAACATACTAGTTAAACTAACCATTGATCTCCTTTCAACTTATAAATATTAAACTATTATGAATCAACTAGTTAAATTTGTCAATGACATTTATGAATTTTGCATGTTTAATAAACTACAAAATTTGAAAACACAAATGCAACATACTGAATGATCTGAACACATACAAAAAGACCTTGAAAATAACATCATATATAAGAAACAAGAACTCATAAGTAATGTAAACAAGATTTGATATTTGAAATATTTGTTTTAAGAATATAATAATGATAATATTTGTGGCATAGCACACAGATCTTTTAAATATGCCTGAATAGAACAAGCTTTATAGTGAATCATATTCAGTCATTACTAAGCTTGAAAAAAGTATGAAGATAGGCCATCTAAGTAGAACCATCATCAAATGTTTTCCAATAAGTACACTGTATCAAATCCATGGGGGGTCAAGTCTCTAAAGAGCCGATGCAAACGTCGGGCAAAATAAGCGAAACAGAGACAGCACTATACGCAAGACAGATAAATCACTATTGAACCATGCATTGTATTTCAATTATAGTTTAGGAACTTTTATTTTTGCATTTTCATATCTTTGTCGCCTGCCCATTAAAAATTATCTTTACTTATCTTATAAATTATAAACTATATATTTTGTAATATACATAACAAATTAAAGTTGTTTAATCCATGAAAGTATAAATTTAATTATCCGTTCCGATTATTTTTATGTCCAATTGAAATGATTACTCTGTGCAACAAGCTCTGTAGCCGAAAATATAAATGTATCTAGGGCTGTTGTGAAATAAAAACATAAAGTAGATTATTATTTATTACATATTCATAAAATTAAGAAAACATTCACAAACAACAGACATTGTTTATTTTTGTTCACTTAATAGTTATTCTAGATTATTTTAAGTTACTTATGTGCTAGATTAAAACAATTACGGCAGTAAAATGATTTGCAAATATTACAAATAGTTTGCACTTGGGTGGCATACTTCCTCTTCCCACCAACTTCCATCCCCTTCTTCCCATAAATGGCATAGCAGCCTTTGCATCGGCCACGCTTCAATTTTGGCTGTCTGCCAACTAGGAAGTTAGATAGAGAAAAGATACACCTGGCCTGGGAACGTAAATTTTGTCTAGGATTAATTCCCAGGCCGGTGTATTTTAACGTATACACCTAAAAAAAGGGGGGTAAATAAAACGATTAAAAAAAACAAAAAAACAGTGCATATTTTGTGACCAGTAGAAGCCTTTTACTTAAAATTTTGACATGTCCATGACATTCGACCAAATGGTCTTTGGCGTTAAGTGTGTTAATTTATGGTGATTTATTAGAGTTGTTTTACTTAATGAAGATCTTTAATGAATAATTATGGATTACTGAAAATGGTGTGTTCTAAGATGCGTCTATAATCATCTAAAACTGAGTGCCCAAGTTTATTTCTGTGTCTATAATATTACTAGTCAATAATATATTTAAATCTCTATGAAAATAATTGTTTTATTTCTGAAAAACTATTAACCATGTTCCATTCCAACTTTCTACTTATGTATCAATGCACAGCTAATTGTTAACTTTAATCTTCCTCTTAATGTTTGTGTTATTAAATATTTAAAATTTCCAATATGTTATTCATTTATTACTATTTCCATTCCAATTTTTTAATTTTCTACGAATGTAGAATGTAATTTCTAAAAAAGAAAATTGGAATAGAAATAGTGTCACTTAAATATAACTTAAACATTTCGTAAAAATCAGCCATGTACAATTTCCTTCATTTTAATATTGAATGTTGGGTTACTGGGTAAAATAATTGAATTCTAATTGCGGCCCTGTCTTTTTGTTATTTTTTATGAGGTTTACTTGACGATAGATGGCGGCCTGTTCCCAAAATTATTATGAAAACTATAAAAATATTATTTTGGCGATTAAAATTTCTTTGTCTGAATGTATTTGCTTCATGAGATAGACGCTCCGATGCTATGGATGGCATCACATTTCATTTGTAAGTAATTTTACACCTAATTATTAAAATAGTTCTAAAAAAATCTCTACGTCCGCTTTCAAATATAATTAAATATATTCCACACTAGATGGCGACACATTGTGTCCTGTGAACTAAAAATATAAAGGTACGTAGAGCTCGGTAATGATAAAATAATCATACGAAGGTGCTGAAATTTGTTTTGCATTCAGACATAAAGAAATTTTAATCGCCAAAATATTATTTTTATAGTTTATAACATTTTGTGGACATGCCGCCATTTACCGTCAAGGTAGCTAAGCTATATTGCAACATCGATATGGAAAGATTCGAGTAGTTTTACTATTTATCAGTAGATGTAGATAGTGTAGTGGGCGGGGCTTTGCATCCCCTCACCCCGCAAATTGTCACGCGTTGTTACATAGTGAAATTTAATTGAAAAATCAGTTGTTCATACCAGTTGACATTTGTAACTCAGGCGCTATTAATAATAGCTATGGCCTCGAGAGGCCCCTTTAAGTGTGAGGTCGTGGGCGACGGCCCACTTCGCCCACGCCTAGCTATGCCACTCTTACAATCGTATATGAAACACAATTAACAACACAAAACAAATTAGAAATAGCTTGGTAGTGATCACCTCATTCCCAGGGTTATTGTCATCCATAAATTCCTTAATATTATAATAACCCTTTTTATACAAACTTAGTTTATTAAAGTTTTTGAACTTTGAGCAGGTTTTGTATATTTTCTGGGATTATGTTAAGATGTGTGTATATTGTGTGTAAGAGTGTGATATATTAAGTTAATGCTCTCATTGAATAATATTAACAATATTGTGAACACAAATATGTTCTCAATTAGTGAGTAACTCTTTATGGGTGTAAGTGTTGTTTTTTTACAAAATTTACTTAAGAAAGTATTTCTTAATGTTAAATTGTTGCTTTTTACTTTAATACTATTACAATTACTGTTTTTCATTAACATGCATCACCTATTTGTGTATGTATACAAAATATACCAGATTTCAGTATACAATAAAAAAAAATTAACATATCTAAATAAGTTTTGGTTTCGGTTGAAAATCCTGTTTCGGTCGGACACTAGCTATTATATAAAGCTATTATAGTGGGCTAATGTCAAGTAGTTCAGTTAGTTACTTTTTGAACGGTTTTAAACTCCGTGTTTTTTTGAAAGCTCAAAAATTATGTGTGATATGAGAAAATGTTTAAAAGAATAATTGAAGATTTATTACTTTTAAGTAATAAAGGTCTTAAAATTCATTGTTTTGTTGAAAAATAGTTTTGAAGCAAAAAAAAAATTTAATTATTTTGGTATCAATACTTTGAAAGGTAGAAAGATAAGTGTGAGGACCTTTTTGTATTAAATAATTACAAAAACTAATATATTAAAATCTCACAGAATACCAGCGTAAAATAGCAGCTAAACACTGCTTTGTTAACTTCCTTCTGCGTAGCATTGAAAGGATGTTAATGGTTTTAGCTGGCAGTCTGTTAGTCTGTATGCCGACACGATAACTTCCGTTCCACTAGACCAATTGACTTTAAATTTGGTATGGGGATACCTTGAGGTAGTAGCTCGGTCGAGTTTGAATTTGGGTCCTGTAGGTCAAAGGGCACCAGAGATATGGGATTCACGCAGAAGGAAGTTGTTTTTCTTGAATTTACATTTAACTCGTTTCATATGGTGAGTATAGAGAAACGGGTACCCTTTTTACTTGAAATGAGGCATTCCATCTTACTCCTCAAGGGTGACAATGCATCTGCATTTTGATTCTTAATCGAGGATAGATATAGATGTCTATAGACCACAGCAACCACTTACCATCAGGCGGTCTGTGTGCTCGTTTGTCATCATTATCCTATAAAAAAAAATTGTAAACCCAAAAAGTTTACATAAATAAACAGTATTAGTCTATTAGTGTTCATATCATTTATTTTATTAATTTTTCGATTTGAATATATAAAATGAATCATTTCTTTCGTCTACATACAGATATAAAAATAAAATAGTGTTATTTATAAATAAAAATTATTGGTTTGTTAATTACAAAAAGCAATGCAGTGGGACTGTAAAAATTACTGTAGAATCTGCCTGCTTAGCATTGTGGGAAAACTGTATGCTAAGGTCTTGATTGAAAGAGTTATAAAATAAACTCATGGAAAAATTTAGAATAATATGCAAGCTGGATTTAGAAAGCATGGGGGGGGGGGGAGTGTACAAGTATTTTCTATGTGCATGATCACAGAGAAGATTTTAACCAACACCAGTAAGTTTTCTGAGTATTCATACATACTCAAAAAACTTACTGGTGTTGATTAAAAACAGGTACTTGGTAAATGACAGAGTGGAAAGTGTTGTCTTATGGCATACACTGGACTCATTTGGGTTGAGTGCTGGGCTAATACAGGCACTAAAATCTTTTTATAGGAACTGTAGACCTTGTGTCAGAATCAATGGTTATGACAGACATGCGTGGCCATGCTGCAGCTATATTATGGTTGTAGCACTAATGGATCAACTTGATCAGAGAAGGACCATGCTCTCACAGAATACCAGCGTAAAATAGCAGTTTAATGCTCAATAATGTTAAGTGCTTGTTTGTCACCCTTATCCAATAAAAAAAATTAAGCCTACTCAGACTAGTTTGGCATCCATAAAGGTGTCAGACAGGGTTGTATAGAATATGCAGAGTAAATAGTCCTCTTTGATCCATTGTGTAAAGTTAGTATGTGTCAAATAGGTATGTATGGTAGTTCACAATACTGTCTTAGTCCCTAACTTAATGTATGGTAGTGAAAGTTAAATGTGGCAGAAGAAGCATCAGAGTAGAATCAATGCTGTACAAATGTGCTCATTAAGAAGTATGTTAGAGTTGACTCTCTGAATTATAGGATGTGAAATTCTTTGATAAGAGAAAAAGTGTGATTTGCAAGATGTTGTGAACAGGATTAAAAAGGGAATGCTTCATTAGTTTGGTCATGTAGAAAGAATAAATGAGAAAAGAGTAAGAAAGCAAATTTATGTTGTAGAAGTGAATGTCAGAGTTGGTAAGGGTCGCCCTAGACAGAAGTGTATCAAAGAGATTGGCGACATAGTGTAAATGGGCCAAATTAAGTGTTTATGCCTAAATTTGGTCATGTTGAACGCCATCCAATTGCGTTCGAGCTGTCGCGTCACCCGATAGTATGTAGGTGAAAAAACGCCGCCAGGTGGGGCGGCGGTGTGCGGCTTGTGTGGCTCGACGCGTGGGCGAAGGGCGTTTAGTTGCCCGCTAGCCGCGAGGCGGGGAACCCGCGTAGCTCTTTTATCGTGGCCGAAGTTCACGCGACCGTTGTAGGGTCCAGATAGTTAGATTAAGTGCGTGTTACTTCGTTACGTGGATATGTGAATTTTGCAATATTTAACTTGTTCGGGGATGCGGAATTGTGCACGCGCGCGTCGAGTAGATATACGGTCTAGGATTCGAACCGCGCATTCCTTGTTCGAGAGCTTCTCCCGGTTGATTGTCAGGAAATCATTATAATTGTGCCGTCGCGTTAAGTGCCCTTTTTTGTGTGTTGGTTGGCTTGTTAGTTTACGTGTCAACGAGGCGTATTTTGAATCTTTTCGCGACGTGGTGTTTTGGTGTCGACTGAAGGAACTTAGTTGTGTTTAACGCTGAATCGTATGACTCATTAAGAGATCGCTTTAATTCCCTATTTATAAATTTGTGATAAGTGAATCCGGGACATTGAATGTCGAATTTTGAACTACTGTCCTTACTGTGTCGGGTATCACGTGTTCGATTCTACGATGAATGTGGACTTATGCGAGTTTAAGTTAGTTAAATGTACAATGAAGCTAATAGACTGAAATAGTGACAATGAAGATAGAAATGGTCCAGCGGTGGAGCCTGCTGGAGCGATACAGCATTTTGGGGCAGCCTGGAACTCGGCAGCTGCTGGTTGCCTAAGCTTGTCCAGGTCTCAGACATTTACACATCACTGAACACTATTTGCCATTCACCTTACACTCACTCACGGCCTGACCGAGCCTTGGTGCGAAGTTAGCTTCTGATACTGGTACGTAATATGGGTTTCTAGCATTCTCCCATATAGTTTAGTGTTTTTATTCTTCCATGTGACCAACCGGGCCCTACCTGCGTCTGCCCGTCGAGGAAGCTACTATGGGCCCCAGTCAAGACGATATTTGCATGGGCAGCTGTAGGCCGTAACATTAAGAGTTCCCTTAACTGACGAGCATGTTTGCGACAAGCATATATGGACGTGAAGGAGGCGAGTCAGGATCGCGCCAAATACAAATCCGTAGTCTCTGTCTACCTCTCTGTATTACAGGCATATGAGTGTTTATGTATTTACTTATGATGAACACCTGATAAAATATTAGTAAATTTAATGTATATTTATTTTTAGTACACATTTCCGATCGGAAAGTACCGCCACGTGCCATAGCAGTGTTACCTACTGTTCTTCAAATGAGAAATGGTGTTATATCTCCTCGCCGACCACTTCCTACATATGCGCGTTTTGGTCCCGTCCGAGGTATATAAGTACAATTGTATACATATTTCGTAGTTATTTTAGTAATATTTTGATTAATTCTAAAGTCTACTTTAATGTAGTAAGTATAAGAGTTTTCCACTGGCAGCACTCATTCACATACATCTTTCAATTTACAATTTTTTAAATATTAATAATGAAGTTTTTATTTTTTGCAGTAAATGTTTATTCCTTACTATTCATTCTAAGGTAGCGCTTGCCCTCGCTCACCTAATGGTAAATGGTGATGCACCTGGAGATGGTAAAGCGCACTGACACACAAAAGCCTCTCTTTTGTGTTTTCACACACATGCTTGTGTTTTGGAGGCGTTCCCCATTTAAAGATTGTGTGTGATTCATAGCTTCTCTTTCGGACTGGATATGATCCCGACTGAGCCGAGCATTCGGCTGGTACCTCTTCACAACTCCTATTATGTAGTTTGCATAGATACCAGGCATAAGCAGATCAATAATATGCAGCAGAAATTTGTCACGACAAGACGACATTGGACGTACAGCCATCGTAGAGAACTCTGAGGGATCATTCACTCAAAATCTTTAATCTAGTCGATCAGGCCAGGGAATAAGCCGTACGTTGGAAGCTTACCCGAGAGGAGAGGATGGTCTACCAAACCCTGTCAAAGGCTTTCGCGCCATCAAAGGAAATAGCAAGTGCTTGCCGACTGTTCTCGATATGCTAGAAGATCCGATTGATTGAAATTTTGATCAAGATTTTCAATTTACAGGTATCAACAGTGTGATTACTCACAGTGAAGCATGTAATCTAATTAGTGAAAACATGGCTACCAAAAAACCTATATTTCTTCTTCATAGGGACACTGACTTTGTAAATTATATTGATGTGTCTGATAAAGGTACCAACTGATTTTGACTATTTAATATTAGAATAATTTGGGATGCTCTTAAAAAATCTACATACAATTCTTTTATGGCTTTTTTGTTCACAAATGCATATTGTAATTTGTTTAAAGGACTGCAGCCATAATTTTAAGATATTGATTGACCTAACCATTAGTGACTAACTATATAAATAACTAATACACTAACTATATAAATAAAACAAACCACAGAATAAACTTTGGTTATTAGATATTTCATGTTTGGATTGGTTACTTGTTTATTTTTTTATTAAAGCGGGGAATTCACTTGATGGACATGCCCGCGGGCATGCGTTCGGGTATGTCTGTCGCCGCAATACACTACACAGAGTCAGCAGTTTGTTTTATGTCTGTGCCCGCGCAGACAAAATGGGATCGCGCGGACGTTTAACAGGCAAGTCTGCCAGACCGACTGTGACGATCCTACACTATCAAACTTTGCACAGACCTATAGTAGCGAAGTCCGGCAGGCATGTCTACAGACTTGCCCGCGGACATGTCCGTTAAGTGAATTCCCCGCTTGCGTGACGAACAAGCCTACAGTCTACCTGGTGTGGCTACTGCAGTCCATTTTTTTTATAGGAGAGGGGGCAAACGAGCGTGCGGCTCACCTGATGGTAAGTGACTACCGCCGCCCATGAACAATCGCAACACCAGGGGAATTGCAGATGCGTTGCCGGCCTTTTAAAAAGGAGTAGGCTCTTTTCTTGAAGGTCCCTAAGTCGTATCGGTCCGGAAAAATCGCTGATGGTAATCGATTCCACAAGGAAGTCGTGCGAGGAAGAAAACATCTTCTAAATCGCACAGTGGTGAACCGCCAATCATCCAGATGGTGTGGATGGTATCGGGAGTTCTGCCGCGATGTGCGTTCGTGAAATTTGGCGGCTAGGATTAATCCGAACAATTCCTCAGAGCATTCCCCATGGTAGATGCGAAAGAAAATGCAAAGTGATGCAACATCTCTTCGCAGTGCCAATGAATCGAGCCGATCGGAAAGGACTCGGTCGTCGACGATTCGAGCCGCTCTGCGCTGGATGCGGTCAAGTGGAAGGAGCTGGCACTGGGGAGCCCCTGCCCAGAGATGGGAACAGTATTCCATGTGAGGCCGAACCTGCGCCTTGTAAAGTTGCAGGCGGTGTGCCGGCATGAAATACTGTCCCGCTCTGCTGAGCACGCCAAGCTTTTTAGAGGCCAATTTGGCCTTCTCTTCCAATTAACCACGAAACTGCACGAGGATTCCGATACTGGCTGAGGCAAGAAGAGGAGTGCTTTAAAACTGAGGAGATACGACAAAGGGGTTCTTTTTAGCGGTAAACGCGCAAACTTGTGTCTTCTGAGGGTTAAACTGGACTAAATTCCATTGACAGCTGCAGTCAACTTCAAACAAAAAAGGCTACAGATGCGTTGTCACCACTTAGAACTAAAATGGAAAGCCTCTCACAGCCTGTTATTATGTATTAATGTAATAAATATTAATTACGTCATAAAATATTATTGGTTTGTGAGTGTAAACTATCATCATCATAACAGCCTATCACAATTCACAAGTCCACTGCTCATATAGGCTTCTCGCAAGGAATTTTACAAAGCATAGTATTTTTTTATTTATAGAATTAAGGTGACAAACGATCACAGAGTCCACCTGATGGTAACTGGATGCTGTGACCCATAGACATATACATCTATCCTCGATTAAGGATCAAAATGCAGATGTGTTGTCACCCCGAGGACTGAGATGGAATGCCTCGTTTCCAGTAAAAAGGTCTCCGGTTCTTTACAGTCACCATACGAAACACATCGTTGAGCTGTTATTTTACCCTGTTATAGTGTGAAAGCGTGGTCCTTTCCCAGTCTAGCCGACCCATTCGTGCTATAAGCATAATATGGTTCTACCACAATTAATTATTTAATCGTAGTCAACGCCTAAGATTTAATAAGCTGTGGTCTAACAGTTATTTAAAAAAAACAATTATGTATACTTTGCGTGTTTTCATAGTGTAAATCTTAAGGGGCTACTCCATGCGAACGACCTTGAGCATTTTGCCGGCGGCACGCCGCGCGCCTCAATATATTGCTTATTTGAAATATGTACGACGCCACCACCTATTGTAGGTACGAACGTAGTATTATTTTTTCAACATCAATGAACTAATTTATGGAAATACACACAGCGTACAACGATAAATGTATTTTAATTTTTTTATTCGGTATATTAGTTGCATTATATTAGAATTATGTATTTTCATATATTATATAATTATGAAATTTTATAATTAATTATATATTAAAAATGAAGCATTGAAAATTGTGAGTTTAAAAGATACCTATTCACTATAGGTAAATAAATATATAGCTCGCCTTTTGTACAAATATTTGGTGCAAGAAAGAATAAATAAATAAATAGGATGTTTCGTAGATGTGTTTTTGATTATTGTTAATTTTTACGTGTCACGTATTGAAAAGTAATATACCTAACTACGAGTACTAATACAAAAATCAACAAGAAGTATAAGGGTTCAATCTTTCAATTTCAATTGTAAAAAAACGTTACCCCCACACTAGGATTTTCTCCTGTGTCGTGGAGGCAGTTTACAAACATAAATTGCACAAGGACAAACATCCAGACCCGGAACAATTATTTGTAAGCCATACAAATACTTGTTCCGTGCGGGATTCGAACCCGCGGCCCCCAGCGCAACAACTAATTGCTAAGCCACTGCCCCACGTAGCCGTCGCCGGGTTATAGCTAAAGTGACCACACGTCCCGTTTTGAACGGGACTGTCCCTTTTCTCGGTCACCTGTCCCATTGTCCCCAAACAAAGCTCCGGGACACAAAATTGTCCCGTAACTCGTTGGATGGAAGTATTCAAAGTCAACAATCTTCAACATATTTTTTTTAATCGAATATATTTTATGTCTACCTGCTACGAATGCTCCGGTAGAAAGAGTATTTTTTTTATTTTGAATAAATTGTGGACGTCTGAAAGAAACACTTACGGTTCCAGAGTTCTAAAGGCGATGTTGTTAACAAAGATAACAATAAAAAAACTTGAGCAGAATTTTATTTTTATTTAAAATCATCACCAACTTTATTAAAGAAAATTTAATCCACTGACAAATGTAATTAATAATTAAGAAAAATATGTTGCATTTAATAATTACCGTCTATACCGAATATAATTTTACAGTGAACACTAATTGTATAAAGTTATAGTTTTTAGAGTATAAATAAACCCATGTCCTGTTTTGAGTTAAAAAATAAATGGTCAGTTTAGTCTTTTTAGTTAAATTTAGTTTTAAAAATTTTTAGTAGTAAAAAGTTAAATTATATATATAAAATTAGTACCTACTTAGATACTTTTTACCGAATTATAAGTATAGAACACCTTATGTACTCAATTATTTTTTGAAAAAGAAGAAAAAACAAGCAATAAATAATATACTATATTTTAGCAAAAAACTATAACTTAGTAATACTAATTATAACTTAGAACATAAATGAAAAACTCATAACTGACAGGGCCCGACCCAGGATTCGAACCCGGGACCTAATGATCAGCAGTCGCACTACTACAACCACTAGACCAACGAGGCAGTACTGTACGTAATAAGATATTGTGGTTGGGTGATAATATTGAATTAGCCTTTTATAGTGTAAATTATAATATTTATCGAAATTTTAATTATGGATTCGAACCTTACATGCCAATGGTGCTTCATTTTTTTATTTGCATTTACTTCAAAGAAAATACACGCAAAAAGCTTCATCGCGCAGTAAAAAACACAACAAATATATGTATAACTAATACGAAAAATAATACCCAAAACAAACAAATAATACTACCTATAAATAACCTAATAAGTAATATTATTTATCGACTGATATTACGTGAGTGTATGCGGCGCTGGTCGACGCTCTAACGACACGGGCTTCGCGTCGAAGAGCTCAGGGCTCACTGACTCTAGCAAGCCCGTGAGCAGTGAATATGCCCAAATTTTAAAATAATTTCTTAATAAAATCAAATTTTGGTCTTTTGAAAAAAAATTTACTATAGAAATGTTTATTAATAAATTGTCTATCCATTGGTGTAAATCGCAAAATAAAATAATACTTACTTTACGAGGAGATCCATGTTATCAATAATAATTTCACATTTATGTGGTTTCGTTGTAAGGAGATTATATTAATATTTATTCGTTTTAAAAAAAATTGGATATAGCTTTTATGGAATCAAGATTATGTAGAAATATAATGTGTTTTTTATTTGTTGATATATCTTTTAAATAAAAAGTAGATAGCTTCTAAAAACCGCCCAAATAACGACTAGCGCGACATTTTGCTCAACCTGCGCCTTAAGTCATTTTGCTCTCGGGATCAAACAAGCTTTTTTAAACCGAATTAATATTACAAAATGGAACTTTTAATAAAAAGTGAAAACTGACTTCAAAGAACTAAAAAAAAAATTATACATTATAGGTTTGAACTCAAGCCTTTACTGGGCATTATTTACATTAGCTAAAATTTGAATTACTTTGAAAACAAAATTGTCCTGTGCTATTAGTCGGCTGGCACATTATTCAATTATTATAAATGTGCAATGAAATTATGATATTCTGTCTCTCTATCTCAGTGCTGGGAAGAACCAGCAAGAAACTCAGCGGTACTTTTTTTTTAAAAGAAAATATACAATATGAAAGGTTGTACGAACTATTTACAAAATTTATTTAAGAATCAGCTTGGAAGCGACCACCTCATTCCCAGGGGTTATTATCAACAATGTATTCATTTATATTATAATAATCTTTTTGTAGTTTTTGTTTCATAAAATATTTGAACTTAGTAATAGAGAGACCTTGTATATTTTCTGGGACTTGGTTGTAATAACATATACATTGCCCCATAAATGAATTGACTCTGTGGAGTCGAGAAACTAGTATCACTAGCTTGTGTTGGCTCCTATTGTTTACACAACGTATATAATTTTTTTACTAAAACTACTTTTGTTTTTGTGAACATACATAAAATTTTCTTAAATATACTGAGAGGCCAAAGTTAATATATTTATTTCTTAAAATTTTTCTCTCAGACCACACTGCGTGTTTACAACTATCTAGTCGTATTCTCAGTCCTCGTATTGTTTTCTCTTGCATTGCCATGCATGATCGAATTTCCGTAGCTCCTTAAGGTTACATTTGTAGCTCACTAGATCCCAAAAATATTTTGGACTAATTCCTGTCCTTTGCAAGCATTGCGTTACTCTCCTCCGTAAAATATCATGATCCCAAAGCGCTAAATCACAGCTCTCCAGTGACAAGCCACTAAAACATTGGTGATCCGTGTTTCTGAGCATCAGCCTAAGGAAACTTTTGTTGAAACAGCTCTGACCAATTAGGATTTTACCATACATAGGAAACAACGAATTACTTTTTGGCCACTTACATTAATCGCCTCGACTTACAGCAGCCAATCAGAGCATACTTTCATTGTAAAAGTGGACTTATGATAAATGTCATAGGCTATTCATAGACACAACATATAATTTTTTTTAATAACTTTTAATTTAAACTTACAGATAAATCAAATTGGCTAGGTTTGTTACCACTTGGAAATGATTCAACCGCAAATGTGTGGTTATATGAAGAAGATGACGAATTATATGGATATACTTTAAAATTAATATCGGCACGAACTCCATTAGCGATTGGTTACAGTAAAGAGTACGCAGAAAAGCATGGATTACCTCTCGAGCATTTACAAATGAAAATAAGTCCAGGTTAGACATATAATAAATTGTATTTATTTTATCTGCCGACTCCCAAAAAGGAGACGGTACTCAATTCGACTGTATGTATTTTTTTATGTGTGTTACCTCATAACGTTGTACTGGGTGAACCGATTTCGATGATTCTTTTTTTATATGAAAGCTGATGGTTCTCGTGTGGTCCCATATGAATTTGATCAAGGTCAGACCAATAGTTTTTGAGTTATTCTTAAATAACTTATATTGAAGTCGGCTGTACAAAATTTTTAATTTTCTGCCGACTTCCAAAAAGGAGCCGGTACTCAATTCGACTGTATGTTTTTTTTTTTCGTTTTTTTTTTTTTTTTTTATGTGTGTTACCTCAGAACTTTTTTCTGGGTGAACCGATTTCGATGATTCTTTTTTTATTTGAAAGCTGGTACTTCTCGTGTGGTCCCATATGAATTTGATCAAGGTCAGACCAATAGTTTTTAAGTTATTCTTAAATAACTTATATTGAAGTCGGCTGTACAAAATTTTTAATTTTAAATTATTAATTATTTAGTTGTAGTTACTATATAGGGCCAATTTTTCAGTCCTAAGATAAACACATAGTGTTTATTCGGAAGATAGCAAACAATATAATGTTTCAGTCGTCCGATAGGTCTTATTTGATGAATCCGCCAGGTGAGATCGCGGGTCTTATCGTCAGCCTCATCCAGAAGCAGACAACTGCAAACAAAGGAAACTGCTGATGTTTGCCTGCCAATAACTTTATACGTATTATTTAATTCACATTTATTTCGAAGTATTGACTAAACATCATTATCTATCAAAGAAATTGACAATGCCAACAATTTAGAGAAAAGAAAATTAAGGAATTATTTATTCTGAAGTTATACTTACATAGACTTTATGTTATCATTTTTCTTATTAGTTTGTGTTGCCCGTCGAGTTGAACGGCTATGACCAACAGCAATTATTGCTCTGCCATATAAAATGTGTTATACTTATGTTTAAAAAAACTTTTCATAAACTCTAGGTTTCTGTCAATAGATATAACTAGCAGTACAAAACACTGGTGGTGTCATGAGTGTCGAAGTAAAATGGGATCGGCCTCCGCGCTGCAACACCATATGGACATTTATCATACAGTAATTATCTGCTGTTTTTAACCGGCCAGCTTAGACCAATTAAATGGAAAGTCGTCACATCGTGAATAAAATACTGACCAAATCCTTACAGACTTATTTCTCTAAAACACAGAATACTTTGACGGCTGCATTTAGTCTAGTCTAGACCTATAAAACCTATAGGAGCTTAGAACACTACTGTCTACTATGTCTCGGTATTACGGAATTCTAAAAAAAAAATATTTAACCTGCCATAGCGTGTTATCTTGTGCAAAAATTATTTTAACTCCCGATAATGTCAGATATATTAACTATCCGTAACAGTGGTAGAGCCACGCGGCAGCTTTTGCTGTCGCACGGATGGGCCGGCTCGAACCGGGGTGGTACCACGACCTCACAGAAAACCAGCGTGAAGTAGAGGTTTACCTCTGCGTTTCGCTTGGTGGGTGCAGGTGGCCGGAGGCCCTTTTTACTGGAAATGAGGCTTTCCATCCTAGTCCTCACGGGTGACAACGCACCTACATTTTGATTTGTAATAGAGGATAGATGTAGATGTCTATGGGCCGCAGCAACCACTTACCATCAGGTGGACTGTGTGCTCATTTGTCACCCTTATCCTATAAAAAAAAATCCGGCCCCCACATACTTGTTCTTTCTTTTCGAATACGTATCGCGAGGAGTTGGGCTCGAAATACACTCTGCACCTTTTACAGCGTAAATATTTTTAAAGTAATAACTAGACCACCTGAAAAAGAAAAATGTAGGGCTATAAGTCCCATAGCGAAACAGACCGACTCATTGACCACGTCCAAATGGCTACAGATTCCTTGCTACAACAGGTCCCATCCGCAGAGATCGTGATCCTTGGCTATTTTAACGCCCCCCACGCCGAATGGCTCGCTTCACGTTTAACCGATCATGCGGGGAGATCTGGTTATGACTTTGTCTTGGCATATGGTCTGACACAACTGGTTTGTTTGTTTGGGTCTGTTTCTCGCTGGATGATCCCAGTGTTGTTGCTGACTCTGTCACTGATGTGGTGCTACAGGGAATGGAACTATTTATTCCATCATCTGTGGTACCCATCGGAGGCAGATTTCTGCCTTGGTTTGGTCGCTCCTGTAAGACTGCATTACGTTATCAAGCCTGGGCTGCGGCTTCGGCGACTCGGGATGTAAATCCAGCATGCTTAAAAAGAAGTATAACTTCGCCTCCAGGTCCTTCAAAAGAGTTATTGCCAAGCCAAAGTCAGAGCACATAGGCAGAATTGGCGAGAAACTAGTTCGCCTTCCTTCGAGAACCCGTGCATTCTGGTCTCTCGCCAAGGATGTCAAGGGAATTTCTGTAAGCCTTCACTACCATCTCTGCACAGGGAGGACTACTTACTGGTCCACGCCGCAAAAGAGAAAGCCGACCTTTTAGGCTCCCTTTTTGCATCCAACTCGACTCTTGATGACGGGGGGAACACACCGCCGACCATCCCGCGGTTTGAGTGCTCCGTACCAGATGTGCGGTTCTCACAGCGCTCGGTTCGCAAGGCACTCCTCTCCCTGGACATCCAGAAGTCGAGTGGGCATGACGGAATCCCCCCAATTGTGCTGAGGACGTGTGCTCCGGAGTTGGCACCGGTTCTAAAGCGTCTTTTCCGGTACTCCTACTCCCTAGGCGTAGTCCCGAAATCACGGAAGACAGCTTTTGTCCCTAAAAAAGGCGACCGCTCAGATCCGTCTAACTACAGGCCTATTGTCATCACCTCCTTGTTTTCCAAAATAATGGAATCCATTATTAACTGCCAGCTCATGCGATACCTTGAGGATCACCATCTGATTAGTGACCGCCAATACGGTTTTCGTCGGGGTCGATCAGCTGGTGATCTTCTGGTCTACCTGACTCATAGATGGGCGGAGGCAGTAGAGTCCAAGGGGGAGGCGTTGGCCGTTAGTTTGGACATTGCGAAGGCCTTCGATCGGGTTTGGCACAAAGCGCTTCTTTCGAAGCTCCCTTCCTATGGGCTTCCCGAGAAATTTTGCAAAAAGTCGTTGTAGATGTTGCATGCTCCGTCTACAAGCCTATTAACGCTGATGTTCCACAAGGCTGTGTGCTATCATCAACGCTGTTTCTTCTGCATATCAATGATATGTTGCTAACTGGTAACATTCATTGCTATGCGGATGACAGCACTGGTGATGCTGTATACACCGGCCGTGCCAATATTTCGCGGGAAAACGTCGCCGAGTACCGGAACAAACTTGTGTCTGAATTTGAGTCTTTGCTGAACAAATTCTCGGATTGGTGGCGACTAAATCTAGGCCAGTTTAATCCTCAGAAGACACAAGTTTGCGCGTTTACCGCTTAAAAGAACCCCTTTGTCGTATCTCCTCAGTTTCAAGCCACTCCCCTTCTTGCCTCAGCCAGTATCGGAATCTTCGGAGTCGACATATCGAGTGACGTGCAGTTTCGTGGTCACTTGTAAGAGAAGGCCAAATTGGCCTCTAAAAAGCTTGGCGTACTCAGCAGAGCGGGACAGTATTTCATGCCGGCACACCGCCTGCAATTTTACAAGGCGCAGGTTCGGCCTCACATGGAATACTGTTCTTATCTCTGGGCAGGGACTCCCCAGTGCCAGCTCCTTCCACTTGACCGCATCCAGCGCACAGCGGCTCGAATCGTCGACGACCGAGTCCTTTACGATCGGCTCGATTCATTGGCACTGCGAAGAGATGTTGCATCCCTTTGCATTTTCCCATCGACAAATGCAACCAACTTCAAACAAGGTTGTTGCGGTTATTCATGGGCGGCGGTAGTCACTTACCATCAGGTGAGACGCATGCTCGTTTGCCCCCTCTACTATAAAAAAAAAAACAATAAAAACTCGAATTCTATACCTGATATTCTAGACCTATCAAAAACTCGAATTCTATACCTATCAGATACAGATTTTGTGTTTTTCTTTTTTATTACTAAACTTCATTACCCTCGCACACATACAAATCACACGCACATATATAAAATATCCATCTTTCTTTTTTCATTGGTCTGAGTTGACTCAATATTTCATTAATCTTTAATAAATTGAAGGTTGAGGCAAAGATATTCTTATTACATTAAAAGTTTCCTTGTAAGCATTTGCACTTTGTTATATTTAACAGTGGTAGAGCCACGCGGCAGCTTTTGCTGTCGCACGGATGGGCCGGCTCGAACCGGGGTGGTACCACGACCTCACAGAAAACCAGCGTGAAGTAGAGGTTTACCTCTGCGTTTCGCTTGGTGAGTGCAGGTGGCCGGAGGCCCTTTTTACTAGAAATGAGGCATTCCATCTTAGTCCTCACGGGTGACAACGCATCTGCATTTTGATTTGTAGTAGAGGATAGATGTAGATATCTATGGGCCGCAGCAACTACTTACCATCAGGTGGACTGTGTGCTCGTTTGTCACCCTTATCCTATAAAAAAAAACTTAGTTATATATTGTTAATTGTTTTCAATTTGGCAAGTACTTTCATACTTTATATTATATAAATTATATAAATTTTTAAAATATTATGCTTTTTAATTTACACACACAAAAATGTTTTAATTCAAATTATAAATTACATTTCTCTTTTATTAAATATTTTATTTATTTCCGTTTTATAAAAACATAAAATTTTCAGGAACAAAAATCAATTTCCAGACGACGGTATCGTTGCAAACAATGCACTAACACATTCTCCAGATTATTCACGTAAATATTCTTCATTTTTAAGATTATTGTCTTATAGCTCGATGTTTTAATTTTTTTCATATGAATTTGTCGTACTTATGATGTGACGGTATAGTAGCTGTTGGTTTGAGGGTGTTGTAAACTCGATTAAAAGAAATGCTCGAAAAATCTTTAGGCCTCCGATTAGTGGTATATAGGTCAACCTCCTGGCTCAACAAAGGAGAGACGAAGTCCAATTTAGTACAACCACAACCACTATACATATCTAAAACAAAAATAATCCAATTGGATTATTTTTGTTTTATATTTTAATTTTAATTACTAAGAAGTTAAAAAGTCCAGTCTAAATTATTCTTGACTCAAAAATCTCACCAAGATAAATATTGTTTTGCACAAGTTCATATTATTTTGATAATTAGTATTGTATAAACTAAAACGATTTTTTTAAATGTTGTCAACTTGGTATTTAGTGACTATATAACATGATAGTGTTATTTTCATTTCCTCCCGTTGGACATGAGAAATGTCCTAAAGATCTCATGACTTCCGATGGAGGTCGGTTTAACCAACAATTTATTATATCTCTATGCCGGCAACGGAGAACAGCGTCAAAGATGTAAGACGTCTAATAGTTCGAATGGCAATCTACCTGCAAACCTGGTTTTAATATAAGAGGAAGCAAATCAACATAGGTACATCGCACCTGATGGCAATTAATTACCTCATCTGCAACATCAAAGGGGTTAAAAATGCGTTTCTGGTTCGATACGACTTAGAAACTCTTCTTGAAGGTTTCTGAGTCGTATCTAACTAGAAAAGGGAGGTCGGGAATGGCAGAAAATCTCTCGTAAAACACACGGTAGAGAATTCTCAACCATCAAGTGGTGGCGATTCAGGCAAATCTCCCTAAAACAGGCGAAGTCCATATCCAGCAGTGAACTTTACAAGTTGATAAAGAAGAATATTATGTAGTAAAAAGTTTTTTTTATCAGGATTTTACACATAAAAATATTACTGGTTACTTAATCTCATTACCGTGTAGTGGCTAACAATATCAAGAACATCCACTACGCTATATTATCCCGGGGGTGTCGTAAGTAAAAACTAAAAGTGAAAGGCAGCATCTTCCTGATAACAACTCAAAATAATCAAAAACTGTGGTTGCCAAGCCACCTGCCAAGCGTGGCAACAATGGCAAAATCCCTCCTATGAGGTAACCTAGGGTGTGACTATGCATCCTATGTGATGTATTTTTGTCCAAGAGTTGACCAAGAAGACCTTTGCTGTCTGACCGAAATTTATGCGAGCAAAGCCGCGAATAAAAATTGCTATAGCATATGTTAACATCTAGTTACTATAGCATATGTCAGATATAGTATAATGTTTTTATTTACAGATTAAAAAGGCACATGGCACGTAACTGTTTTAAGAAAATTAAAAAAAATGCAGATGAAAATGAACAGAACAATTCGAGAATGATTTCTCTGCCTGATATAGCCGACCAAAGTAGGAGTACTGAAGATAGCAGAATACCATCTGATGAGAGCTTCAACAACTACACAAACGGCATAGATTTCAACAATTTATTTGACACAGACAGAATACCAAACCTTGATATATCTGGGGGATCCACTTCTGAAGCAGATTTTAACTCGTACACCATCTTGCATAGGGAAGAAAGTAGCTTGCCCATTGTATTAGATTTCACGAAATTTCAAAACGAAAATGATAACCTGAATAATGATGAAAGGCTGAAGGTACAATCATTCATATTAGTTTAACTTTTGCGATTAGTATATATAATAGTAATATAATCTTTTAGTAACCTCTGAGATATCAGATATTGTGTTACATACACTGAAAAATATTCAAATTGAAAAATTCCTTTTTCCAAATTTAATAAAGGCATAAAGAAAACTTAAATATTTTTAAATTCAACAAAATATTTTTTTTTAATTGCAATTCAATTCACTAGGTCGTAGAGTATCTGCACGTAAAATTGTAATTGGGTAGTTGACATTCATGTTAATTGAAATACTGATTTTAACATAAAAGGTGTTCGTTAGACTCGTCTTAATTGCGGGAGTGACATAGTCTACAAAATGTTTCTCTTTTAACTAAACATTCTTACGCGGTCCGGTTTTTTGAGATTACTATTTTAACGATAGGATTTTCAAACAGTTCACCTGATGGTAAATAGTTAGTACAGCCCATGGACAAATGCATCCAACTTCAGACAAAGAAGGCTGCAGATGTGTTGTCACCTCTGAGGACTAAGATGGAATGCCTTACAGTTTGTAATTTTATTGCCTGTCGGATGTTTAAATAAAACGCCCAAGTCTTCAATAAATATCACTATATTTGAATAGAATATGCTCATAAAATATATGACGATTTTTTTTAAATAATAATAGTGTGAGAGCGGATGTTCAGTAACTATCTATAACTATAACTGCTATCTTGTGCGTACGCGATTACACATTTTCAGCAATAAAACAGTGTACCGCACTATTAACAATCATAACAAATGCTATTTCACATTCATTCATGACACAGATTAATAAATAGTTTACTAAATTCATGAGCAGTTGAATTCACGTTCAAATGATATTTGCTAATGTGACGTTTATTTAATATACGCAATAATTAGTATATGACAATTTAGTTAACGTGCGAGAAGTCAAAGAAAATAATTGCTCTATGTAATTACCCGATCTTTATAAATATATTGGTAAAATTCGCAGCTTGAATAGCATTAGCAAGTCCACACAAATTAATTTAGTATTTTCTCGTAAATGCGATGGAGAGCACACGCACGCTGCCGCGACCCGCTAACAAACGAAGTGCGAAACTAAGCGATGAATAAATTCTCATTTCACAGATCAAGGAATTTCCCAAATCTATTTAATTTACTAAATGCTTAATATTCGCATGATAAAAATTAATACGAATGCTTTCATTTACAATCATTTTTCTTTATTAATTTTAACATTAGTAATAAATCAAATATTTTAAACAAACATAAAAATCAATAAAATATAAAGTCAAATTAAGCTTTCGTCGAACGGGTGTAGGTTTTAAGATCTACCCTCACTTCAGTTTACCTTTTTTTTTAATTTCATACGCTCTGTCTCCGATGCATAATTTATAGATTTTCCCAAAAGGGTCGTACAGTTATAGGCGAGTGCGCGGCAGACCGGTTGTATTTAAAAATTGTAAAATACTCAATACAATAATAGTAATAATAAACAAGTAAATAAATAACTGTGTACAGTTGCAAACAAGAGTCTTACACTAGCACAATTTCAATTAAGAATTATATTTATTAGGTTTAATTTTTAATTAGAATACAGGAAGTGTGTCTACAAGTATATTTACAATAGTATATTATGACGTTATAAGTTACCTATACATTTATAAGACATTGAAGTAGTTGTAATAGACCGGACATCAGCAACAAAATTGTCACCTCTTACCTATCAAAGTTATAAATTCAATCCTGGGCGAATAAAGGGTTTTAAAAATAAGTATACATTGTATTTTATGACTCTTATAATATTAACGTAATAAAAACAATTTCAGCATAAAACAAGTCCACCCGCAATAAATTTGATTCCATGTCCTACCTGCAATCAAACAATCGAGAGGGGAAGCAAACGCAATCATGTGAGGTTCGACGTTATCCACATTCATATCTTATTTCAAAGTGTATTATTTAATTACTGATGTTTTTTTTTTTTTACAGAGAGTGTCCTGGACTTAAATTCCATTGCAAGTGTGGTCGGGTGTTTTCAAGCAATCAAAAACTTACTTATCACATGCAATCTGAACACAAACCTGGCGATGAAACTAAGGCAGTACACCAATTTAATTATAACTATCATTGCGGATTCATTCATTCATTCATTACAGCCCTTCACAAGTCCACTGCTGAACATAGGCCTCCCCCAAAGAATGCCACAAAGCACGGTCCTGAGCCACCTGAATCCATCGACTTCCTGCATGTCTTACCAGGTCGTCACTCCATCTCGTGGGGGGACGCCCTACACTACGCCTACCGGTACGAGGCTGCCACTCGAGAACCTTTCTTCCCCATCGGTTGTCGGTTCTTCGAGCTATATGGCCGGCCCACTGCCACTTCAGCTTCCTAATCCGTTGGGCTATGTCGGTTACTCTGGTTCTACTGCGGATATCCTCATTCCTAAGTTTATCACGCAGAGAAACTCCGAGCATAGCCCTCTCCATAGCTCGCTGAGCGACCTTGAGCTTCCTCATACGGCCAGCAGTGAAGGACCATGTCTCAGTTCCGTAAGTCATCACTGGCAACACGCACTGGTTGTACAATTTCGTTTTAAGGTTTTGAGGTATGTCTGACGAGAAGATGTGTCGTAGCTTCCCGAACGCTGCCCAGCCGAGTTGAATCCGTCGATTGACCTCTCGGTCGAAGTTGGACTTACCTAGTCGGACTATTTGTCCCAGGTAAACATACTCGTCAACAACTTCGAGCTTAGTGCTCCCAACAACTACCGGCATAGGTGTGACATGGACATTAAACATGATCTTTGTTTTGTCCATGTTCATCTTAAGACCTATCCGTTGGGAAACACTATTGAGGTCATTGAGCATAGTGCTTAGGTCCTCCACCGATTCTGCCATAAGGACTATATCGTCGGCAAATCGAAGGTGAGTGATGTACTCGCCATTGATGTTGATACCGTATCCTTTCCAGTCCAGAAGCTTGAAAACGTCTTCCAATGCAGCGGTGAAGAGTTTCGGGGATATGACGTCACCCTGTCTTACACCTCTCTACAATTGGATAGGTTTCGTACTCTGGTTTTGTACTCGGATAGCCATCGTAGCCCTACTGTACAAGCACTTCAACACTTCGATATACCGACAGTCAACTTGGCACCGCTGAAGGAACTGCATCACCGCCCAAATTTCGACGGAATCAAAGGCTTTCTCATAGTCCACATACGCCAGACATAGTGGCAAATTGTACTCTTCGGACTTCTGTACAATTTGCCGAAATATCAGATCTGATAAATTATAATAATTACAGGTTCTGTCTAAGTTTTAGACATGGAACCACATTATACAATCGTTTTCACTGTTATTAACTTCTTAATTTAATTTTATTAGTTATAAATATCTATTATAAATTCTATATTATAGAATCATTTCTTCATCATCATTAGGAATGCCTCCATCTACTTCCTCCCCTAAGGAATGCCACGAAACATGGTCTTGAGCTACTGCATCCATCGACTTCCTGCATATTTTTCCCCGGTCGTCTTAGACATGGACCGTGAGCCTATACTACAATTTGCTTACCACTACGAGGCTGTCGCTCAAGAACATTTTCCCCATCGGTTGTCGGTTGTCGGCACATTGCCACAGCTTACTGATCCGTTGAGTTAAGCTTTTTACTCCAGTTCTACTACGGGATTTCCTCATTACTAATTGTTATGCAGAGAAGTAAGTAAGTATAGTCCTCTCCATAGCTAGCTGAACTTCCTCATATGGCCAGGAGTGAAAGACAATTTTTTTTAATAGAATAAGTGTGACAAATGAGTACACAGTCCACCTGCTATGACACATGGACGTCTACATTTATCCTCGATTAAGAATCACAATGCAAGGGCTAAGGTCCTTCAGCAATTCTGCCATAATGACTATATCGTCGACAAATACAGGGCGAGTGACGCACTCGCCATTGATGTGGATATTTCCAGTCCAGTAGCTTAAAAACGTCTTCTAATGCAGCGGTCGAAGTTCCCGGGATATAATTTCACCCTGTCTTACACGTCTATGCAGTTGGATAGGTTGCGTACTTTAGTTGTGTACTCGGATAGCCTTCGTAGCTTTACTGTACAAACAATTCAGCATTTCGATATCCCGACAGATAATCTGGCACCGCTGAAATGATAGAATAAATTAATTAATATCATTATTTCTTATATTTAAACGAGTACTAAACTACATTTCACTCCTCAGCCACCAAGGCTCATACTAATTTCACTATAATTGAGTATTTGACACAACGGTCAATTTAAATATTTTTTGATTTGTCGAAACAAACATTTCTATAGAAATTATATCTGAATATTATAGTGTAATGATGTATCTCATTGATATTCCACTGTCGCCTCTTACGACACTGACGAGAATATAGCGGTTAATATTAAACTAATTTTATAGATTTTATAATTGGGCTACCTTCTGCATCTAAATATTGATTTCTGGTTTTACCTACGCAGAAGGTAGCCCGGTTTAGTTATTCATTGTTCCACATGAGAATGAAATTTCAATTTTTAATCAATATTTCAAGGATTAAAATAGGTTAAAATAAAACGTGATAAAATCCGTAATATCAGTTAAGTGTATGTATTCAATAATTAAATGTTATTTTTGATTTCAGATCACAAAACCTTCCACTGAAGTTCATTACAAATGTGAGGAATGCCAAATTAATTTCAAAGTAAGCTGAAAGTGTTGTTAACTATATTAGTATTGCATTACTTAAGCTGAGGAAAATACATCGAAGTTGATGCTAATGCTCTTGGAAAATCTTAATTAAAACAAATTGATTTACGTAAAGTAACGCCTGATTCTATTAATTATATTAACATCTTAATCAAGGCGAGAACTACCAATTACATTTGGAAGCAATAAACGGCATATATATATATATATATATATATATATATATATATATATATATATATATTATATTACAAACGCGGGTATTTAATTTAAAGTTTTATCGCCCCGTCCACAACTGTGGAACATAATATTCGGATTAAGCTTAATTTTTATCAGATAAAGTAAGTGATAAGGAAAGGATTGTTTGCGGTACTAGAAATCATCACCATATTTCTGGGTTTGTCCAACTAATTCTACCATTAGTTCAAGGATAACAAACGTGCGCACAGTTCACAGGAACCCCTTGTTATTTGATTATGAGAAGTGGATGCTGTGGTCCATAAACACCTAAACCTATCTTCGATTTCAAAATTAAAAATGCACATGTTTTGTTCAACCTTAGAACTAAAATGGAAAGCCGCATTATCAGTCAAAAATAATAGAAAATAAAAGACATCGAATAAATCTGATTTTACGCACTTTATCGCGTTTAATTCTATATATATTAATTTCTTGAAGCGATGCAGAGATCATGATCTCATTCCTACGTGTAGCAAGGTGTCCACTAAAAAAGACATTAGAGGAAGCGCTAACATATTAATCGAGGAAGTTAAAAGTTGTTAAGAACGGTGATTCAGCAAATACATACCTTTGCTTCATAAATCAAACCACAGGCAAATCGTAATAAAGTCGAAAAAAATATAGTCGATAGTTCGGAAAGCTACGCCTCCATCATCGCATCTCTTTTGGTGATCTTAAAATGGACTTATTTGCAAAAAAAGTTTTTTGTCGTTCTAAGTCAAATGCCGGGCTGTATGCTTTAGAGAACTTATGACAAGATACCGACAAACCTAATAACGTAAAACGAATAAAACTAAAGATCTTTCCTTTCTTTGGTTAGCGTCGAGGAATGCTAGTCAACCACCTCTGGCGCGTGCACAAAACCGTCTCAGAATCTGTTCCCCTGGAGAGGAGGGTACGCCACTACCCATGTGTGGCATGTCCCAAAATATATCGCACAGCGGCGAAACGCGACCGACATGTTAGAACTCACCATCCAGGTAATAATACCAGTCTTTTCCTTTTTCTTGTTAATATGTGTGAAGCTATGTTTTATGTATTGTTGTCTGTATATTCATTTAAAATGGATTTTATGTTAATTTAAAATGACTTATGAAAAACATGGTAACTTGATTTTCTACCGACTTCAAAAAGGAGACAATACTCAATTCTACTGTATGTTTTTTTTATGTGTTACCTCATAACTTTTTACAGGTTTAACCGATTTCGATGATTCTTTTTTTATTTGAAAGCTGGTGCTTCACATATGGTCCTGGTTGATCAAGGTCTAACTACTAGTTTTTTTTAGTTATTCTTAATAATTTATATTGAAGTGGGTTGTACAAAATTATTAATTTTTAATTATTAGTATATCTTTTTACATTGTTTGCGCGCATGTATTACTGTGTAGTGGCGATGTAAGAATATCTATTACCCCATAGCGCCTCCTGGGTGTCGTAAGAGACGACAGAGAGAAACTGAAATAGGAAATTGGCTGCAGCATCTTCATAATAACTAAAAAGTAATAAAAATCTGAAGATAACAGCTAAAAATTATAAAAATCTGCGGTTGCCGACCCGCCCACCAAGCGCGGCACTTTTTTTACTGTCGGAGGACTCAAAATGTTAACTTGCACATCGGAGAAATAAAAAATACAAGGTCACCAACTATGCCTAATGTGTTACTGGCTCTATTGCTCCACGACCCTTATAAAGAAGGGTCCAGCCGTAAGACATTTATAGGCAGTTCTTAATTCTACTTAACTAAATACAAAAGAGTTTATTGTTAATACTCAGGTGCAGAAACTTTTCGCAAGCAGTCAATAGAAGGCGGGGTGATCGCTTGTCGGCCGGCAGTGTGCTATGCTTGCCCGCGGCAGTACGCCACACGAGCAAAACTCTTGCAACACGTGAGAGCAAATCATCCAAATTTGGTAACATGCATTCAATTTACTTTTTTCTGATTTAACTTTACACACACATTAACAATAAACTTAGCTATTATATTAGCTATATAATGTATGCATATAAAGGAGGAAGTTTGTTTATATGAAATGGTTTAATTCAAAATCTATTTGATCGATCACCATGAAAATTGGTATACGAGGGTGGATTGAAAAGTACTCGGCCTAACCAAGAAAATAAACACATACTAAATCAGTTATATTTTTATTTTTCTACATAATCACCATAAAGTACAATACACTTTTGCCACCTCCCCTTCCAAGCATTTAGACCGTTGAAAAAAAATGATTCTTCCTTAGAGTCAAAATATGCGTCTACAGCTGCTTTGACCTCGTCGTTTGTCGAAAATCTTTGACCTCCCAAGTGTTTTTTTAGGTTAGGGAACAGAAAGAAGTCTGATGGTGCCAGATCAGGTGAATACGGCGGATGCGGTAACAGTTCAAAGCCACAGTTGTGAATTTCAGCCATTGACTGTACTGACGTGTGAACACGGGCGTTATCTTGATGAAACAGGACTTTCTTCTGAGCATTCCTCGACGTTTTTCTTTTATTTCCTCTCGTAAACGACGTAGTAAGGTGCAGTAGTAATCAGAGTTTATATTCTGACCCCTTTCAAGATAATCAATCATAATCACACCTTTCGAGTCCCAGAATACTGAAGCCATCACCTTATTTGCCGACAAAATCGACTTAGCCTTTTTAGGGGGTGGTGAACCAGGTCTTCTCCACTGTTTTGATTGTTGTTTTGTTTCCGGTGTACAGTAATGAACACATGCTTCTTCCATAGTAACAAAACGATTCAAAAAATCATCTGCATCGGCTTCAAATAACTCCAAACTGTCGCGTGAAATAGTCAATCGCGTCCTTTTTTGTTCAACTGAAAGCAGTCGCGGAACCCACCTCGCAGACACCTTGTGGAAACCCAACTCGTTGACAATGATGTTTTGAGTTCGTTCATAAGAGATGCCTATAATCTCGGCTATCTCTCTAATTTTTAATCTGCGGTCTCCCATTATTAAATCAAGTACTTTTTTAATATTTTCGTCAGTAGTTGACGTCGAAGGCCTTCCAGAGCGGGGTTCATCTTTCACACTCTCTCTACCACGCTTAAATTCTGCTATCCATTTTTTGACGGATGAATATGACAGAGCACAATCGCCTAATGTACTGACCATGTCATCATGGATGGCTTTTGATGATAGCCCCTTCTTATGGAGGTACTTAATGACGGCACGCTGCTCGATTTGCTCCATTCGCGGAAATTATGTCCGATTACTTTGTTAATAAATTTATAAAATCGCAACTAATTATCGCACACGTTTAGAACTTCACACAATGAACTAGTCTGAACTGAACTAAATAATGTGGGTAGATTTGATTTTTAGAGTTGAATGGATCTGTGTTAGGCTGAGTACTTTTCAATCCACCCTCGTATATATATACCAATTTCAAATAATAAATAGAGGTATGTTATTTTCAATGAAGAAGGTTTGTATTTATCAACTAAAAAAAATTAGAACATTTTTAGAAACACAAAATTTAAAATTTTTGCTTTTGTTTGCTCTTTTTCAATCAAGAGCGGCCATTAATAAATTAAATTGCAAGCGATAAAATAAAAACGTTGCTGAACACAACATATGATATTAACTGGGGATGATGCTATTATGATGACGATGAAACTAACAGGACTACGTCTGCCGAGTTTCAGCTATTAAATATATTTTGAAAACCATTAGGGGTTTCAGCGGCTACTTCATGGTGTTTATATAATTTACCAGCGACCCGCCCCCGCTTAGTAGGTGTGTGTGCCGTTTACCTGCGGCGTCATTTATGTTTATAAAAAGCACTGTTCGATCGATTCAGAGTTTTAGTATTTATACTTAATAGTTATTCGTTACCAAAAGTACGCTTCACAAGAAAATATTACATTATTAATTTCTTTAAATTTATTTATTAAGTATTATATTTGATCATATGGTTTAAATGAGAAACATGAATAATGTCAAAAACTCAAAACAAAAACGTTTATTGGATTGAGTTATAATTTTGTCGTAAAATGTGGATCGATATTTGTCTACGCCTTACAGATTTAAATGTCAATGTTTTATCATTGCTGCCAGTTATTACAAAATGTGTTTATGATAATGTTTACACCTGACTTATACACAATACAAATAGATTTTGTCTGGAAGTAACGCGCGAAAGGGCCATATAGCTGTCCATGAAAAAAAACACTCAGGTTTAAGCCCGCATTTTTGAACGGTTGACCGTATGATTTATTGATCGCCATTAAAAATGTCAATGTTATGGTAAATTGCAGTCGTTTAAATTGGAACGGTAGATATCCGTTGGTATAAATGGAATCTAGGGAATTAAAACAACTTCTCTAATTCCACACGCGGTCAGTATTTTGCACTTTATTATGAATGTTTTAAAAAATTACCTGTAAACGTATATTATTGCACAATGTAGATGTATTCAGGTTCCGTAATAAAAAAGCAGTCATCCTGCTTTTAAAATCAATTTATGTGCGGTAATCCAGAGGGCTACAAGAAATAGAGAAATTATGTTGTGAAATGAACAGCCTTCCAGATAGAGCAACTCAAAGAATTCGGTCATTTATCTTAATTACTATTTCGTTAGTAGGTGCCAAAATAGCTCTCTTAAAAACAAGTAAAGTCTTGGATTGTGTAGTCGAGTCTCGTTTGTCTTCGTTCATACTTAACATGGGTTCTAACATTGGTAATGATGAATTCATCATTGATGATGCCGTAAGTTGGACTACATTCTCAATTTGAGTTCAGGACCTTTTGAGGGAAGGTATGTCGTCATCAAAGTTTCGATCAAATTTACGTTATAACTTCCGTAGTTGCGGAATCAGAAGAAGCATAGGTCTGTTCCGTCACTAATCATAATACACTACTGGACGAGAGGTAGCGAGTAAAGCGGGTACACTACAACTGCCATGCTTGGCAGATAGATATCTCTTGGTCCATTGTATGACCATTTTTGAGATGGTTAATCTGCCATATACTAAATTCATTTTTTGTTTATCAGTCATGAAACCAAATTGCACATATGTTTATATGAATAGCATTCAAATAAATATAACATTTAAAAAAAAATACATATGTGAGTGTCGTGGAACACTCGATTGGAGCGAATTTCCTTTCGTAGTATTTTATTATTGATAAACGTATTATATTATTGATTACAAATTCAAATAAATGAATTACTAGCATCTATTAAAATGAAGCGTCATTTAAAATAATATTTCTTTCATGGCAAGATAACAAATAGTGCTAGGGAGATGGATATTATTCCATCTCGCTCGCACTATAGAAATGGGGGGTCTTACGGATAAATCTTACACTTTTTCTCGCCTAGTCCCCGTTTGTCAAATTCGTACCGTGCGTATCATAAGGAACTTCGTTCCAATACTTATGATTCTAAAATTAAAATACTTGTAATAAATATCGAAGTATTTTTTTCAGGCTCCACCAAAGAATATGAGGAAAACTTCAACAAAACCCAGTGAAGTGTTATGAAATCCTGTGCAACTGGACAAACAAAAACTTTTTTTTAAAATACAATTTCGAGTTAGTAATAATAAATATTAATAGTAATATTAAAAATTGTTTTTACTATACGGAAAACTTACAGTGAATCCTTATTATTCAATTATATTGTTTTTCATATTCCGAAAAAAGAATATATATATATATATATATATATATATATATATATATATATATACATACATATATCATAAACTTAATATATTCGACTTACTACTCGTACCGGCAGGCGAAGTGTAAGGCGTCCCCCCACTAGATGGAGTGACGACCTGGTAAGACATGCAGGAAGTCGATGGATGCAGGTGGTTCAGGACCGTGCTTTGTGGCATTCCTTGGGGGAGGCCTATGTTCAACAGTGGACTTGTGAAGGGCTGTAATGATGATGAAACTCAATAGGAGACGACATGCCCGATAATTTCTATGCAAATAAGTCTCTCACTTTGACCGGTAATATTATTTATATATACCTAATCATTGCTTTGGCGAACAAATAAATTTGTTATTTGTAATGCATTTCTCGGGATACGCATGCAATCGTATTCACACATATTTTTTTTATATACGCGCATTCCTCTGTGTGCGATTCAATTCACACCTCCAAATGTGTTAGATAAAGCCTAGAGCCACGCAGCAGTTTTTGCTATTGCACGTATGGGCCGGCTCGAGCCGGGTTGGTACCACGACCTCACAGAATACCGACGTGAAGATGAGGCTCTGCTTCTGCGTTTCGTCTGGTGAGTGCAGGTGGTCGGAAGCCCAATTCCCCCCCCCCCCCCCCATCAACATGGTAGCGGAATTACACGATAGACTACCCCAGGAGGGTACCAGTACCCCTGGAGAATCCCTCGCTGAGCATCCACGAACATGTTATTCCAATCCTGTGGGTGCTCAGGCTGCCCCGCGTATTCTGGGGAGGGGGGGGGGGAGCAAAATTCCGCTCAAAAACATAACTGCTCGGGGCAAACTGAGCAACAATACCAAGGCGACCCCTGCCACGCTATCCGTGAATTTCTGCAACATCAGGGGACTTCACTCTAACCTAAACGCCGTCCACTACCATCTCGAGACGGCGAAGCTTGCCTCGCTCTTCCTGACCGAGACGCAGGTTTCCTCTCCGACTGATATTTCCGGGGTACAAATTGGAGCACTCCTTTATGCCTCGGGCTGGAGTTTGCGTGTATGTCAGAGAGGACATCTGTTCTCGACGCCTCGGCAGTCTTGAAGGTTCGGACCTGTCCATCCTTTGGCTACGCATAGACAGCGACGACCATCCGCGCGTCTACGAGTGCCTCTATAGGTTCCATAGCGGTAATGCCGAAACAGACCGACTCATCGACCACGTCTAAATGGCTACAGATTCCTTGCTACAACAGGTCCCATTCGCAGAGATCGTGATCCTTGGCGAGTTTAACGCCCACCATGCCGAATGGCTCGGTTCACGTTTAACCGATCATGCGGGGAGATCTGTTTATGACTTTGCCTTGGCATATGGTCTGACACAACTGGTTACTTCGCCTACGCGGATTCCAGATGTGGAGGATCATACACCTTCCCTGTTGGACCTTCTGCTGACCTCTCATCCGGACGGATATCAGGTTTCCGTCGATGCCCCGGCCTTCGGACCATTGTCTGATCCGGAGTGTGGTGCCACTCACGCTCCCTTCGCGGTTGCGTTCTGCAGGTTGCCGCCGTGTTTGGCATTACAGGTCGGCGGATTGGGACGGAATGCGGTCTTTCTTTGCATCCTACCCATGTTAGGACTCTGTTGCTGACTCTGTCACTGATGTGGTGCTACAGGGAATGGAACTATTTATTCCATCATCTGTGGTACCCATCGGAGGCAGATCTCAGCCTTGGGTTGGTCGCTCCTGTAAGACTGCATTACGCAGAAAGCAGGAGTGTTATCAAGCCTGGGCTGCGGTTTCGGCGACTCGGGATGTAAACACCAGCACACTTAAAAAGAAGTATAACTTCGCCTCCAGGTCCTTCAAAAGAGTTATTGCCAAGGCAAAGTCAGAGCACATAGGCAGAATTGGTGAGAAACTAGTTCGCCTTCCTTCGGGAACCCGTGCATTCTGGTCTCTCGCCAAGGCTGTCCAAGGGAATTTCTGTAAGCCATCACTACCATCTCTGCACAGGGAGGACGACTCACTGGCCCAAGACGCAAAAGACAAAGCTGACCTTTTAGGCTCCTTTTTTGCGTCCAACTCGACTTGATGACGGGGGGAAAACACCGCCGACCATCCCGCGGTGTGAGTGCTCAATGCCGGATGTGCTGTTTTCACAGCGCTCGGTTCGCAAAGCACTTCTCTCCCTGGACATCCAGAAGTCGAGTAGGCCTGACGGAATCCCCCCAATTGTGCTGAGGACGTGTGCTCCGGAGTTGGCACCGGTCCTAACGCGTCTTTTCCGGTACTCCTACTCCCAAGGCGTAGTCCCGAATTCATGGAAGACAGCTTTTGTTCACCCGATCCCTAAAAAAGGCAACCGCTCAGACCCTTCCAACTATAGGCCTATCGCGATCACCTCCTTGTTCTCCAAAATAATGGAATCCATTATTAACTGCCAGCTCATCCGGTACCTTGAGGATCACTAGCTAATTAGTGACCGGCAATACGGTTTTCGTCGGGGTCGATCAGCTGGTGACCTTCTGGTCTACTATCATAGATGGGCGGAGGCAGTAGAGTCCAAGGGGGAGACGTTGGCCGTTAGTCTGGACATAGCGAAGGCCTTCGATCGGGTTTGGCACAAAGCGCTTCTTTCGAAGCTCCCTTCCTATGGGCTTCCCGAGAAATTGTGCAATTGGATCACCAGCTTCCTTGCAGATCGGAGCATCAAGGTCGTTGTAGACGGTGCATGTTCTGACTACAATGTTCCACAAGGCTGTGTGCTATCACCAACGCTGTTTCTTCTGCATATCAATGATATGTTGCTAACTGGTAACATTCATTGCTATGCGGATGACAGCACTGGTGATGCTCTATACACTGGCCGTGCCAATATTTCTCGGGAAAACGTCGCCGACTACCGGAACAAACTTGTGTCTGAAGTCGAGTCTTTGCTGAACAAAGTCTCGGATTGGGGGCGACTAAATCTAGTCCAGTTTAATCCTCAGAAGACACAAGTTTGCGCGTTTACCGCTAAAAAGAACCCCTTTGTCGTATCTCCTCAGTTTCAAGGCACTCCCCTTCTTGCCTCAGCTAGTATCGGTATCCTCGGAGTCGACATATCGAGTGACGTGCAGTTTCGTGGTCACTTGGAAGAGAAGGCCAAATTAGCCTCTAAAAAGCTTGGCGTGCTCAGCAGAGCGGGACAGTATTTCATGCCGGCACACCGCCTGCAACTTTACAAGGCGCAGGTTCGGCCTCACATGGAATACTGTTCCCATCTCTGGGCAGGGGCTCCCCAGTGCCAGCTCCTTCCACTTGACCGCATCCAGCGCAGAGCGGCTTGAATCGTCGACGACCGAGCCCTTTCCGATCGGCTCGATTCATTGGCACTGCGAAGAGATGTTGCATCCCTTTGCATTTTCTTTCGCATCTACTATGGGGAGTGCTCTGAGGAATTGGTCGGATTAATCCCAGCCGCCAAATTTCACGAACGCACATCGCGGCAGAACTCCCGATACCATCCACACCATCTGGATTATTGGCGGTCCACCATTGTGCGATTTAGAAGATGTTTTCTTCCTCGCACGACTTCCTTGTGGAATCGATTACCATCAGCGATTTTTCCGGACCGATACGACTTAGGGACCTTCAAGAAAAGAGCGTACTCCTTTTTAAAAGGCCGGCAACGCATCTGCAATTCCCTCCCTGGTGTTGCAGTTGTTCATGGGCGGCGGTAGTCACTTACCATCAGGTGAGCCGCATGCTCGTTTGCTCCCTCTCCTATAAAAAAAAAGGATCTAGCTGAACTAATGATTAATTAACATATTAAATATGATTCTCTCTTCATTCATTTCGTTTATTAGGAATTACAAACATTAGGTTAATAGGTAGTAAAAAATTAAATAGCTAAAATGCTGACAGATTCTTGTTTGTGCTCACATAGTTTTTATTCGAATACACTTTTTTCAATTATCAAGCAGAAATTGATTGACTCATACAACTACGGTAAACGGCAAAGACATACGGCAAATTAAGTTTAATAATTTTGTATTACGTAATTTTACCGAAAAAGGCGTGTAAATACGGGCATTCTTCTTCAACAGCTTGTAAAAGTCCAATGCTGGACATACCTAGGTACCTGACGAGCGTAATGTTTAAGTAAATCCTCCTTGACTCCAGGAGGATTTACTTAAACCTTCGCCAGGTGGTTTGGCAATCGGAGTACCAGTCGTACCCGCACGAAGTGCCCAATAAACTATGCGTTGCGGTAAAATGTCATGCGCCATATTTTCAGTACGTACCGATTTGGGAGAGTCATCGATATCAAAAAACTATTTATTATAAGTAAAAACGGACTTCAAAGAATGGGTTATTCCGTTTATCTACCAGATCGGAATTCACTTTTATTTGTTCTTCCAATTTTTTACCCCAAGTATAGTTCACTTTAATTATTAATTAATTTTTAATAACCACAAACATAAACATCTATTGGAAATATACACTCAAATTACAGTAAGTTAAATAGAACACCTTTAGCAAAAACTATCGAAAATACTCTCTTCTTGAGCCCAGTAGAAACTAATGAAATTAATACCATAATAAAAAATGTCAAAAATAAATCATCCTTCGGTATTGATGAAATTACTCCTACTTTGATAAAAAGTTGTGATGATTTGTTAACAATGCCGTATACAATATTGGTAAATCAATCTTTTTTAGAAGGTGTCTTCCCAGATGCCCTCAAAATATCCCTAATTAAACCCGGGCATAAAAAGGGTGAACTTACTGACATAAATAATTATCGACCCATAGCTCTGTTACCTACTTCGGCTAAAATATTTGAATCGGCCATGGCAAAACGTCTTTGTTCATTTTATGAAAAATTTAAAATTTTACATGAAAACCAAAATGGCTTTAGAAAAGACCACTCTACCACCTTAGC